AAGGACTGGTCTGCAACTACCCCTAGTTTAAGGATACGGAGTAAACAGGTGAAATTTGTCGACCACTTCACTTACTTGGAGAGTTGCATCAGCCGAAACCAGCTCGAATACAGAAGGCTCATCCGGTAGTTGCTAACTTGCGGCGGCTGCAGTACCGGTAGGCGGGATATCCGATTACCTGTCAAAGGATGAGTATTGTGCAATGCGGCGTTTTGTGTCCCGTTATGCAGCTGTGAGACATGTCCATTTAAAGTGGAAGACAAGAAGCGGTTACAGAATTCTGACCACAGGTGTCTTTGTGGCATTGCTTGCACTTGGTGGAATCACTGTGTGAACAATGTAGAGGTCATGTGAAGGGAACTAGCAAGGGAAGACAAGTCAGTCAATGAGATTGTAAACCTTTCTTGATTGAGGTGGCGCGCATACTGAGCCACCACCAACCTCGACGTGTCACGTTAGAGAAAGTTGGATAAGGTTGTAGGAGGGTTCAGGGTAAGCAGACGTAGACGTGGCACCAATTCACGAAGTCTTTGACTGCTGGTTTGAGCCTTATAGGGAAGTGTGGATTCCCTAGCTAGTGTACTTGAGACAATACTAATAAGTGGCTGAAGAATCTGGGTGAAACGGTTGAAAACTGGTCACAATGGCGCAAATGTATTCACTCTTTGATGTCTTCTAAAACTTCAATGCTTTGATTAATTTTAAGTTTTAAATTTCCTCTCCTCCGGAACACCTTTGTCTGTTTTGATATCAGTCTTCTCTAGCCAAATGTTCTTTGTATGTTACAGTAAATTGTGGCAGCTTGAACGGATGCAGTGGTGTGCGAGGTTCTTAGTTGATTTTGTCTGTCTATTTGTTTGTTTTATAGTCTGATATGTCATCCAGAAGAAAAGTGAATTTTAGTTGTTTCCTATATTAGTTGATTCGGCCAAGAACTTTGTGAAGCATCTCTGTTCCTACATATACTGATGTCTAAATATGGTATATGATGTTGGTTTTATTAATATTGGAGTAAATAAAACATAGACATTGTGGTAGTAATTCTATTTTACTCTATTTCTTGACTATGTCACAGTCAAACAGTATTACTCACTGGACAAAGTTTCCGGCGTAATTTATTCACACTAAATATATGCAATAAATCATAGAACGAATAGTTCAGCGAATTTGTTGTCAACGTTGTTTTTTTATCTTACTGACAAAAGCATGTATCGATTTTAAAACACAACGTACTACTCTTACATCTTGTCAAAAACACTTTACGATTAAAAATTTTGGATATATATATATATATATATATATATATATATATATATATATATATATATGCGACTGGATAACTTCTGAAAATAAATTGTTTGTAAATGATTTCCTTCAATGAACTATTCGTTACATAATTTATTTCGAGGTTACTGTAGATTATAATTTTAAGACGGTATTCAGCGCGGACTGACACCTGATGAGTCCCATACTATGATGAAACAGCTATCCAATGCCCCCAGGTTTTTAATGATTCTTCAACTGATGCCGATCCATGATGAAAATACCACCTTAACATAATTTATTGCCCATATTCATATCAGGTAAGAATACGAACAATAAATTATGCTCGAAACGTTATCCTATGAATAATACTGATCTCTGGAGTTGATTTTATTATTGAAATTTATCAAATGACATACTGGACACTGACATAACCTTATAGTACACAATTTTCAAATTTAGTGCGTATATGGAAGATTAGGAGTACACGAAATGAATTTGATTCAATCCAATGTTTGTTGCTTTTGCTTTGCGAAAATTCATTCAGGGAATTAATTGTATGAAAGCTGTAAATGTTTGATTGGTATATTTTACTGTAAACAATTCTTAGTAAAGACATGATTACCTGAGTAGTGTAATCTAATCTAATTTACATTTGAAAGATAAAGTCATTGAAAAAACATGAAAATAAGAAGTTAAAAGTGCTTAGTCAGTGGTGACCCAACAGCAAAACAAATTCATGATGAAACTATCCAATAACTTGCAAAAAAATTGAATAAAACTGCTATAATTTGAAAAGGTTTTGATGCCACATTAACTAAACTAGTTAATGTTGTTTCGACACTTGTAATTTTCGGTTGCTTTACCTGGTCGAATTGTTCGACTTCTGTTAGCAGATGGTTTCGTGTGCAAATGTCTCAATACTGTCGGATATTTACAATGTTATATTCATCTTGACGATTAGCAGAGCAATCCAAGATGCGCTTCTCGTCCTATTTGCGACTCGTCAGTTGGATGTACCTGAACCCTAGTAAGTGATGTGATTCTCACTGAGACTTAAAATAGAACGAAACGCACGTCGTGGATTCTACTGCTAATCACCAAGATGAATATTAGTTAATTACAGCAGGTATAATGCCTGGAATTACAAATTTACACGCTCAACATTGGCTAGTGACTGAGGAGTTTTAAAAAGATTAGATTAATCCATATATCCGATCTATGAAGGCAAAGAGTGGTAACGTCAGTCATCTGGATAGGTTAAGTTTAATACCTACTTCAAAGTCAAGAACCAACAAAGAAAATACATTCAACAGGTTTAGAATCATATTCTAGTGTAACAACCTGAATCGAATGGGATAAGGAATCGTATTTCAAAGTGAAACCGTCAAGAAGTAAGACATATATGCAGGCATATAGAAAATATGCATATCGAACACTTGAAAAATCGTTTTATTTGTTTGTTGTTGTACACATTTTGAAAACTAAATTAACCTTATGTTCCAAAGTGCATCAATATCGCGAAAATAACATATATGAGCGAATAAATATTGAGTTTATTGTATGATAAAATGGAATAATTACTTCACTCCTCAGTGTAGATAAATTCTTAGTTTGTATTCCCTATCATTTAATTTTAAAAAAATGCTGAAAATATACTTTCGAGTACATTTAATTTAAATATAAGAAGAGTGACTTTGAAGATCACTTTGGTTACGGCTAAATTAACCAATCAAATGTCAGAATTCCATCTGGAAAGATAGTTCTTCATAGAATCGAGGAACATGATTGGTTATCGTAGCAGTTGGTGAGATAGCCTTTAAAGTCACTCTGAAAGGCAGAAGTATTCAAACATCAAACTTAGATTCCAATTACTAAATGGTTAATATCATCTTCTTGGAGAAACTTAGTGGGCAAGCCATCAGAGATGAATTGATCTTTTTGTTACAGTAATATGAATATGCGTGAAACATCTACACTATACGGTAAACTTCCACTGAATACACACCATCCTAACAGATATAAGCTAAGTTTCATCTTCTGATACATCTGTGGTTTGGTATTATTCTTTACGTCCCCATTTACCTTACTGTTTCATGTATGCACTTCCATTAAATCTGTCACAAGATCCACTTACAAGGAAAGGATATTGTAACTTATTTACAACCTGTTTAACAATATCAGTCAACATGAAAAAATACTTTGTGATGAGTAGTAAGTACTTCAGTTTATGATACATTTTCTACACTTGTTTGTGTGTGTGTGTGTATGTGCACGCGCGCATGCGCAAGAAATTATAACTTTTAATTTATCTTCCATTAAGAGTTAACTAGATATTTCTCTGGCTGTAGTGACACCATTTTATGGTTAGTGGTACTGAGAACAAAATAAAAACAAAATCTTTGGTTAGTATATATATTATGTTACGGTCATATGTTTAAACATCTTTGTTACTCAGATTTGACCCTAAACTCACATATCACTGTATCAATACTATTATAAGTGTTCAAAAGGATGAAAGTACAATTTTGAATCCATTGAGGAAACAGTTATCATTCGAACAGACTTAAGTTACAGTGAATCAAGTGGTGAATCCATGCATCCATAGCTTGGATAGCTAGTACTGTCTACAATTAACTAGACATTATTAGTAAGCAATTTTCAGTGATAGATTCAAGTTATAGTTACAGCATTGGAGATGGTCAATCTTAGGTTACGAAGGTGAACTACTCGATGACTTCGTAAGTAATCAATAGGTTATAAGCAGCATTCAAAAACTGAACGAAGTAGAATGACACTCAGCAACCTTGTGCACAACTTCATGCAGTAGGCAATGAGCCACACCTATTGTGTAAGAGCTAGTGATACTACCTGGTTGTCCAAACCTCGACAGGTGGATCGGGGTTCGGACCCGTGTAGTATTGGTTGATAGTCATCTCCTTTAACCAATAAGCCACAGTTCTAATGAATGACAAAGAGACATAAAACATGCAGGAAAATTTCACAGATGTTTTAGAGAAGTCATACTAAGCTTAGATTGCTTAACATTATTGCTCAACAGTAACTCACGATGGTCTGTAGATTCGGCTGAACATATGAGTGTGGTTTGAAACACAAAACAGCCAATTCAGTCGTTTCTACCCAAGCTCACCAGTCGTGTACGTGTGAAAATAAACGCCAAACAGTTGAATTATCCAAGTCAGCTGAAACTAGCTAGCTGAAATGAATGGATGAAAAACCTACACAAACCATTCACAAATTGCATGATCGATTTCTGATGGTCAATATAAACCATTTCCAAATACTCCAGCTCTTGAGTAGCATTTTTCATTGGTCAGAGTATGAGAATAAGAGTTTTGAAACTGATAAAAAAAAATCAGATAGTTGGAGTACAAATCATTCTCAGTGAAAAATATCAGTTAAAACTCTGTTAGTATTCCTAGCAAGTTTATTCTGAATTTACCTGCTTGATTCTTTACTCTCTTCAATTTAATCAGTGCAGTGAATTAAATTTAATTAGGTAACTGTTATGTCACTAAAACCTCTTGATAGTTAGTGTGAAGGTTTAGCGGAAGAGCAGCGTTTTAGCTAAAATAATCTCCACTCTTAGTTGATGAAAACCTTTCACCACTGACGACTTAGTTTGATTTAACTCTAGAAATGTGAATACATAAATATCAGAGCTAAATCCAAAAATTCTATGGAAAAATTACTACAGTAATGGAAAATACACTTACTCCAATCTGTACGAACAACATCTATGCTAATTGAAGCCAATGTGGACACTTGATGCTCAGACATGGAACCTGATGCGTATAGTTTTTTCCAACTTTCTTTCAGAGATATATACTGCTGAGCTTTAACATCTAATAAGTGGAAACGTTCTTGACCGGTAGTATCTGCTGGACAAACTGACAGTAAAATTCGCCAACCAACTTTACGCAAGCTATGTTCTAGGCCATGTAGATATACATCTAAGCTGGAAAAAAAAGAGAAAACAGTTTTATTTATAAGATCACGTACACCATCATACTTTGGCACTTCAACATTTTGGAATTTTAAAAAGATGCTTTAATATTAATTACATGGGGTCTGGATTACTGAACCAATCACAACCATATGATATGATGATCACGGTAATGACCTTATATCTTAAACAATAAGCATACACAGAGTATGAAGTTAGTTTTTATTGGTGAAACGTTCTTAAGCATTAACTTTGTATTCATAAACACTTTGTACAATGTAATATCCAGATAAAATGAAGAGCAATAACAGAACTTCACAGGTAAAACAGTTTTCGCCAATACAATTTAATGGTCATCTCTATAGATTAAATTATTAGCCCATGAATCACCCTTATTGTCTGAAGCAGTTAACGAAACTAGTCAATCATTCAAAACCCTGTTACTATACTGAGTCTAATTGCTCGACCTCGGTTGGAAGAAACGCACATCTTGGATTTCAATGCTAGTCAGCAAGTAACACAACAAGAAGAGAAAAGCCTTCTTACTTTCAAACACTAATTAATCGGTAGTTTTATTTATAAAGCACAATGAACTGAACAAAAGATGTACATACAATTATCTATGCAAGGAAAGAGTGATTGTGAAAAAGGTGATAATTGATAAGATACGATTTTCTAGAATAAAAAAAGACATTCTTCAAGTAAGAGGCTAGGTTGGCTGTTGCCAACTTACTCTATCTATGGCGCCGCCATGATATCCGAATATCTATTAAGGGTCGAGTGTAGTGCGCTGCAGTCTGTTCTGTTCTACTATATGGAAAATAGTTCGGGGCGGCATCAATGCATGAAGTCCTTGACTGTTCGTTTGAGTCACGAAGGGCGATTTAGACTAGCCGGTTGGGGTCCACAGGACTAGAGAAACCAGTGATTGCAGACTGTAGGTGATATGGCTCAAAACCAATGTCAGTGGCGCAGATGTATACACACATTGTCCTAATCTTAACCGCAGTACTTAATCTCATCATCTCATTCTTCTTCCCTCTCTCTATTTCTACTTCTACTTCCCTTGACCGACTTTTCTTTTTTTCTTTCTTCGTTTTCCATTTTATTGCCTTGTTACTTGATGTGCTGATATGAAGTGTAGCAACTTGGACTGTTAAGCAGCAAGCATGATATAAACGTGGGACCTGGTATTGCTATAGAATCGTTCGCGTTGGCACATCACAAACAACATTCGGTGAACCAGGTTGGAATACGGACCAGCTTATAAAAAAGCCAAAAGCAGTAGGGACAAAAAAAGAAAAACATGGATAAGGAAGTTGCGATTACGAAGATACGTAGCCGTAGCCGTAGCCGTAGATTCTCACACACACTACCTAGAATCTCCAACAATCGAATTCAGTAGTCGCACGGACACCTAATTGAAAATCATTTCCCTACACGGCTCGGACAAAGTCACCGAATTCATGCATTAATGACACGTTGTAGTCTGGAGGTTCTAACCCTTTCGCAACCTAAACCTACCTCAGATACCATCTCACTTCCAAGTAGAGGGTGATTAGACATGAATGTAGCCCGTTTCAGTCATCTAAGCAAATATATTGATTAACAAATTCATCAAGTGACTCTAGACCTCACTTCCGCGTTACCAAAAGTGGTTGGCTGAGACAAGGGAATAAGGTACAAAAGCAGCGGAGGCTGATGACCTAAGTTACTCACATATCCCCTATCTTTGACAGCCACATTTCACAGTCAATATACTGGAACAGAGCGAACTGCAGTGAAGTACACTCGACCCTATTTAGCAATCGGATATCATACCGGTGTCAGAAATAGTAATTTGGCGAAAGCCAAGCAATTCTTTTGTATCCATACCGATATTTCGTCGGTGACTGACCCATCTAAGTTGGTTCGACTCCTCAAGTGAAGTGATCACCGCGTTTAAACACCTCATATTCTACTGTTAAACAAGGCACGAACAAATACCAATCCTTGAGTCACAACCTACATTTGGGTGGTGAGAAATCCACTTCAGGCATTCTGAAAATGCCACTCTAGATGTTCAGAACATTTCATATTGTTGGCATCTACAGCTAGAAGGACTATACAGTTTGTGTACTCCAGGTGTACTAAGGAGTCTTCTGCAGCAAGATCAATTTACTGTGAGGTTAGACAACTATAGGGACGAAACCCATCAAGGACGGATAGCGTGGGTACCACTAGACGTACACATTTCAGCTGATAACTCACTATGGGCTCCGACGTGGCCACGGGTTTTCGAGCACAGAGTTTTTAACGTGATGATTAACTTAACCATCGTACCTTTCAGTGAGAAACACTGTCATGAGACCACTTAACTGATGAAGTAGAGTACTGCTTTAGTGTCCAAAAATACAGATATTGTCTGGTGCCAGTAAGTGTGCCTATGTTTCAGAACCTGCTGGAGAACGAATATCTATTCGATACACCCATGACTAGGTTCTTTAAACTGTCTAGTTTTCTTGGGTTTGCTTCTCTCAAGTCTCACTTCGATATCTAATTATGACAAGACCTAGGATCTTAGACACTACTTTCGTCAGACCGACTCTTTAGTGGCTATCACAGGAGGGATTTTCTATCTTCTTCAAGAAAACCGGAGCAATTAGTGATTGACACCAGTGAGAGGAGATCGTATCTTATACCGACACACCAATTAACCCTCTATTTAGTGTAATCAGTAGTTTTCGACCCCAGCCTTATATGACTAACACTGCTATTAGTTCATCGAGGCCTGTTGTCCTTCTTCGTTTCATGTTACACACAGATAGCCTTCTCAACTCTCGCAAGAGTGTTGTATTCAATATCCGAATGAATAGGGGACAACAGAAAACTAGCTGGAGCCTGACTGGACTGTTACTCGAAGTGTTCTACCCATCGTTCCAGTCGTCTACCATGCAAGTAGTGAATTGCAAACCCATGCTTCTGTGTAGTTGTCCCACTAACCATTGACGTTTTTGCTCCTAGTTTCCTTGATAAGTCTAAATAACTATCTGTTGTTACCTATTGGCATTATCACTGCCTTTTCCAGTCTTTAGTTTGTCGCTACCCACCACTGCTCACTGTGTAGACTACATGTCAGTCTGGATATGAGTTACTTCTGCTCCTCATTGTGTCCAGAGGCTGCAAAAATGCTTTCAAATTCCTTCATTAATTTAGAAGGACCTGCTGAAATTCACTGAAACTTTCTAGCCTTTTACTGAGGATGAGTCACAGTTTATAACTGTGCTACGATAGGAGACTGGAGAAGACGCCAGGTTTCTTCAGGATGAATGATGCTGTTTTTTTTCGATAAGTGTCTAACCAGTTATTTACTCACAGAAGTCTTAGCTTTCTCATCATCTATCTGTGCTCATAATGGCTTTGCAGCTGCATTTTCTTACTCCATTTACCCGTAGACACGCGTGCCTAAGCCAATGGGTGATCACTGTTTATACACATGTTACACAAGGACCAGCAATCTTCTATTGACCCTCTCCAGTAATAACTGAATGCACTATCATCTATCTATGATCATGACTGAGTTGCTGGTCTCTCTTGGTCTCTTTTTATGTCTGAAATTCGTACTGGCCGGAAATAGATGGTTGTCTAACCACAGTTGTAGCAGGTGGTCACGGTCACCCGTTCGTTCGGCTGGGATTTGCAAGGTGGTAATTAAATGCCTTTCTGCCCGACTTAGTCCACCCAAACGTACACTGAAATGATCTGCTAAAAACATTGGTTATACTAAGAATTTTATAGCCATATTTTCCCACATGAAGTAGTCGTGTATTCAAGATAGTGATTAACGTCTACTTGTCTTGCACTGCTTTCAGGTGACTATGATACTTTCATTTCTTCACTTAGATATACACGAAATCAAACTCAACATTTTTCGTTATGTAAACTCTTATTATTATTATTATTATTATTATTATTATTATTATTATTATTATTAGTTCCTTGGGTTCCTAATGGAACATAAAGATTCAGTAACACTTCTCCATTCCAATCTGTTCTATGAAATCTTTTGAACCTGGCTCCACGACAGCCCACAACCTCTCATTTCCTCCTCGCACGATCTCCTCCATGTCACCCTCGGACATCCAACTCGTCGCTTCCCATGGGGATTCCACTCGAGGACCTGGACTGACGCGTGATGTCCCCAGTCGGCCTTCCCAGTGTATGCCCAATCCATCTTCACTTCCTACCACTGCATATTTATTGGGTGATAGGTTCTTGGTTGGTTCGTTCCCAGAGCTCCTTGTTGCTTATTCTTTCTGGCCATCTGATCTTCAGCAGCGAGCGTAAGTAGTTGTTGATGAATGTCTGTAGTTTATTGGAAATCCCTTTCGTGACGCGCCAAGTCTCTGAGCCATACAAGAGCACTGACTTGATGTTGGTGTTGAAAATCCGTATCTTGTTCCGCATGCTGAGTGCAGAAGATCTCCACACTGGTTTCAGGCTAATGACCGTCTATCTTGCTCTTCCGATTCTGACTTTGACATCCTCATCTGTGCCTGTGCCACCTGTAGTTGAAACAGTGCTGCCTAGATAAGTGAAGGAGGTTACTTCCTTTAAGTTTCTCCAGTTGATGGTGATTGGAGTTTGTTGTTGTTGCTGGAGTTTTTGGTGCGGTATCTTCATCACCTCTGTCTTCTCTATATTCACCTGAAGTCCCGTCTTCGCTGCCTCGCCTCTTCTGCCAACCTGTTAGTTTTCGCCTGTAGATCTTCGAGTTTGTGTGACATCAGGCACAAGTCATCGGCGAAATCCAAGTCTTCTAGGTTCTTCTCCACAGTCCATTGCATGCCCCTCTTCTCGCTCCCCACTGTTTGCTGCATGATCCAGTCCAGTCGACCACAATCAGGAATATCATGGGGGATAGTAAACAACCTTGTTTTACTCCTGTCTTCACTTCACTTCGAAGGCATCACTGAGCTTCCCATTGTGAATTACTTGGCATGTGGCATCTTCATACAGTTGTTGAATGAGGCGGATAAAGGTTTGCGGTACTCCGTAGTAATGAAGCAGTTTCCAAATTACCTCTCGGTCGACGCTGTCAAAGGCCTTCTCAAAGTCGATAAAGTTGACGTAGAGAGTTGACTGCCATTCTATACTCTGTTCTATGACGATGCGAAGCGTTGCAATTTGGTCCACACATGATTTGTACTTCCTGAAGCCAGCCAGTGTGTTCTGGTCGTAGTTTTGAATCCAGTGCATCCATTTAGCCTCTCCAGGATGATGCGGCCTAATATTTTGCTTGCTGTGGGTGGACAGGAGAGTGATTCCGCGCCAGTTCTTGCAAACACTGAGGTCTCCCTTCTTCGATAGTTTGACAAGGTAACCCTTCTTCCAATCAATGGCCAGGTACCTTCTCTTCCTTCCACACCTTCTGCAATAGTGGTGCGGTGTGAGCATGTCCGCTGTTGTCTCTGCGTCTGATCTCAGTGCTTCTGGCGGGATCCCATCTGGTCCTGCTGCTTTCCCGCATTTCAGTAGCTTTATAGCGTTCAGGACTTCCATTTTTGTTGGAGGATTCATGTTCACTTGTAGTTCAGCGGCTGCAGGTGGAAACCTTACTTAGTTACTCTTTATTTATCGATCATCATCAATCAAATTACCTTCAATAGTAAGTGTGCTAAAGAGGTGTCATTGTGTAAACAGGGAATTTATTGGATAAACTCAGCGTCCAGGCCCAGAATAGATAAACTTGAATGGTCAACATAAAGTAGATACTGCAGGTCCCTTTGCAGTTTCAACCCAATGTCAGTGAAACAGTACACGAAGTATGCTGATTAGGAGTGTTCAAAAACAACTGGGATGTTGGCGGTATCATTTTGAGCGACAACTCAGCTAGTTTGTTTCAGTGTCATTACAAATGCCATCGATATATATATATATATATATATATATATATATATATATATATATATATATATATATAAAACTATCGGTGACCAAGAGGAATTGTAAGTGTTGAGATAAAAACGAAACTGACTAAAATGTTTTAGAAGGTATGACAAACTGAATATCACTTAACTTCAGTAACCATTTTTAAAAATGTACTTCGTAATTTATAAGAAAGTTATCGATGTATTCGTTAGTTATTAGTTGCATACAAAACACTGGAAGTCATCTTACTTCACATACTATTTGGAACAACTAATTCACGAAAAGGAGTTAATATTTCATTCAATTTGTATATGTATTGATAATGTGTTCACTTTCCATAAGGTATTTGAAGACCACCACATGTATAAACATTATGTTTCTTGGTATTAAGATTACTTAAAATTCTTTTGATAGGGCTATACTTTGAAGTCATCTGATAGGGGGATTCCTTCAACGAGTTTGTTGACAATGCACTATATAAGGACACTAGATACGATGAAAGTAAGCAACTGTCTCTCTTAATTATCCTAAACATGTAGTCAAGCAAAGCAGGCAGAGCTCGCTAATTTCTTTCTCCATTTTCAACTTTGTCGCCAATGGAATTCTTGAGATACATCTGCAAAGCTTGTGATGGTGAAGAACCCTTACACAGTTAGACCTTTTGACACTGAGTATGCAGCTTCTATCAACTTACCATTCGAAAAACACAAAAGGTACTTGGCTATAACGATTATCAGTGGCCCTAAGGGGAGTGATTCTAAAGGTTACCTTGGCAATGACTGAAATGGTCAGTTAGATTTTTTTTAATCTCAATCGGAAAGGGAGATTTTCATAAAATCAAGAAGTCTAACTGGTGGCCTTTGAAGCCACTCTCTAAAGCTTGATACTTTAGTATGTATCAAAGTGGATATTTCTTTAAAAGATTGGCAGAAGTCCGTTCCTACGTTTATTCGAGGAAGCAAACAGATACAAGAAGTTGAAAAGTTCGTATATTCGGATAGCTGTGAGTGATAGTAGATTGAGGTAGACAAAATTTCCCATCCTATTTTGAAAGTTATAGTATTACAGGCCAATCCGAGTCACTGTGAGCGTCGTCTTACAGCAGGCGGTCTGGTGCACAAAATTTTAGTGAAAGCAGCTCTGCTCCACACTTGTGAAGCGTAAATATGAGGATGCAAAATGATTTAGTGTTTGTTCCCATAAAACTGCTTACACATAGACTACTGGATTCTGAGGTAGCACAATGAGTTTGGATTTTACGCACTTCCATAATGATCACTGTTGGCTAAGTCTGAGAAAAAAGAAAGGTAGCCAGTTTAAGAAATGCCACAATGGGATGAAAGATAATTCTATTGTGTTAGTATTTTTCGGTGTGTCACAGCTACTTGAACAGAGGTCCCAATGACACTACGACTCACTGGTTTCAGTTGTCATCATATCTGGTTAAGGAAGAAAGCCTTTTAAATACGTCTGATGTGTAAATCTGGCCTTTTCCAATTGCTGTGCCACTTTATATCATCTTATAAATTATGTGGTATATTCCTTCTTTCCTATATCATAAACACTTGATATAGTGAATAGGTAACTCGTTAAACCAATAAGCTGTATTGTATTTCAAATTACTGAAAGTTCCTGGGACTTTCTTTATCACATGACTGATTTAATGAAACAAGTTAACATTTAGAAAAATTAATATAATCTAGAGCTTACTAAAACTGATTTAAATAAATAATGCGTCCGCTTTCATCCATGTACTGTCGCATTTGTATATCTGATATAGGAGGATGAACAGAGTAAATCAGACCATCGGTATCCATACCAATTCCTAATAAAGCAATAGTAACATTGAAAAAAAAAATACTGACCAATTTTAAGTTTATCTTATCACAATAAAAAAGAAAAGATCAAAAGCACATAGCCTTACACTGAAATATAAATGTTATTCTGGAAATAGTAAGCCATGCTTCGAGTTATACAGTGGACGCCAGTTCACATTTCGTACCTGAAGCAAGTCTAGATCATATTCTTCTCAATTTGATATTTTATCTACCTACTTATAATCATATTCATCTCATGCCTAACCGGTACATTGTTTGAATGTGCAACTGAACATTATCCAAAAGTTATCTCTAGAAGTACATGATCATCCATATATCTCATAAATCAAAAATAAATTCTTGTTATATCGATTATTTTTTTTGACTATCTGAGATAGCTGTGGTTTGGCAGACTAGTATTGATACTGGGTGATGATTGACAGTGGAATGAAGATTTCGATCGTGGCTGGATTCGAACTAGCGACCACTAGGTTTCCGGCAAAACCCTTGGTGATTGAAGTGAAATAAAAATCTGGTCAGCAATTGGAATTCGTAGCTCAGTTGGTAGAGCATCGAGTCGGAAACCCCTTGGTTGCTGGTTCGAATCCGGCCGCGGTTCAAATTTTCATTTCACCTTCAATCATCACCTAGTATAAATCTTGTTAAATTGTAAGAGTGAATAAAAATTTAGCCTTGCACCTTTTTGATAGGAATTCATTGGTTGTTTTTTAACCCGCATATGATCTTTAATTGATTATTAGCAATTTGAAGTTTAGACAAAAATTATTTAGGCTTAATCAGACTTTTTTCCTTTATACGCTTTACTCTTATCCTTTAATTTTAATATTTTTGGATAACATACATAGGTGGTAGAGTTTAGCGATCTAATCTTTTGATATCCATTCACTTAGGCTATGGAATAATCACTGATTGACATATAAGGAAACAACAGTGAGTGAACTGGGAGATCGGTTTCCCTGCACAGATATATAACCAGAATGATAAAATGCATACCTTCACAGACGCTGACCGAATGCAGGATCAATAGAACGCGTTGAGTAGAAATCTGAATATGTTTGGCATACGTTTTGCTGGCACCTGTCAAGTGTGTATTGTTTCAGGAGTGGTCTACAGTTATGCTCAGTTTACAGACATGGAGTGAAGCAGGGGAATATATCAACCCCCAAGTAAGTAAATAAATAAATATTTATTTATTTATTTATTTACTTACTTGGGGAGCTGTATCAACTCGAACCGGTTGGTTCCTGATGAAATCTCAGCTCGATACAGAGCACCTGTTTGGTATTCGTCAACTTCTGTCATCTGTGGCGCCGACTACCAGGATATCCGACTGTCTATCAACAAAAAAGTATGCAGCGCTACAACCAGTTATGTCCTGTTATACAACTGTAAGACATATCCCTCAAAACTAGAAGACATGAAGCGGTTACACAGTTTCGATCGCATTGCTCACATTCAATAGGATCACCATGCGAGAAATGTTTACGTCAGACCAAGGGTACTAGGTAAGACGAGTAAGTCGATTGATGTGGCAGTGAATCTTCATTGGTTGAGGCACCTTGGACATGTGTTGCACATGCGGACCCACCGCCTACCTCCACGTGCCATTCTTGAGGAGACTCGAGTAAGCGGGAAGAGGATTCAGCGTGGCCAGACCTAGACCTGGCAACAGTCGATGAAGTCTCTGACTCTTGATCTGAGTTGTGTAGGGAAATGGAGGCTACCTGGTTGGCGGAATCTTAGAGACAGTGGGAATCAGTTGTTGAAAATCGACCACAATGGTTCAGATGTATTCACTCGTTGACGTCTTTTAAAGCTTAAGTATTCGCACTAACAGTTACCTTCAAATTGTTTATTGTCTCACAGAACTTAATCTAATTTGATATCATCTTTTCTATCCACCTGTTCTTTGTATAGTACTGTGAAGTGTGGCATCTTGAACCGATGCGACTGTGTGCGAGGTTCTATGTTGATTTTATCTGTCTGTCTGTCATCCCCCGTCTTAAGAAGAATACGGAAAAAAGGAAAGGCTTGGATACCTCAAAGACATCAATTTTAATATAAAAATGAACACTTTTAGGGGTAATAACATCTGACTAGCAGTGTAGTAAAGAATGTCCACCGCAGTTAGTCTCGAGGGCTAGTATGCAATGTATATATTCATTTACTGTTGTAGATTGCAATCCGCATTTATTAGTAAGATTACTAAACATCGATGGTTATTCCTTTTACTTTGGAACTGGATGATATTCAGCTTTGCGCTATTTTTAAAGAAACAACTAGCGAAATATCACAACTTCACTGAGGATTTCAATATGAAACATGATGTCTTTATTAGTGCATCTATTAGGAAACTTTAAACAAGCTGGCTTTATGTAGCGAACCAGATCTCAAACTGACGCTCTGAACAATAAAGATAGATATTAGAACGCTACAATTAATTTATACTAGAAGAATAAATGGGATTGATATGTGAAAACAGTTTTACCTATAGCCTTCCGAACATTTGCAACAGTTCTTTCTAAGCGTTGGGTTATTTGCGAAATAAGTGACGGTCCTTTAGAGTCATTGTGTTTCAAATCATTTTTGTTATCACCTTGTGGTTTACGTCTTCTGGAGTTTGATTGAATACCACTTGGAATAACAATATCCCAATCTTGAGGATCTGATAACGAATTTTGATTTTGGAAAAAAAGATAACAAAACATAGATCATTCTGGTGATGAAGCATTATATATATTGCATACAAACACATGAGTTGTGTCCCTGGGTTGTACCTTCACACCTCGATTGAAGTAAACTCGCCTAAGTCCCAAATTGTCTTCGTCTTGTATCAGCCAAGTGAGTTGTTGAGCATCATATCGTTAGTCCAGTAACTACATTACTCATCCCCGATTAATCGTATCCGAGAATCTTAACATATATGCTCCGAATTTTCAAGAAAAGACACTTGGTCTTACATGTATACAGCAGTTTGAAGAGGAAAACAAATGAAATGTGCTTTTGTAGAAGAGTTTCGAAAAAGCCAAAGTCATTGTAAATACAGATCTATATATACCGTTGTATTTTGTAGATACGTTTGACGTTGCAACATACCCTCTTTTGCTCTACTGCCTTCTTCTGTTTCCAAGGCACCAAGTAACCATCAAGGGGCAGAATCCAAAGGTCACAAATTTATGAACACTTAATATGAGTATTTATATAAGTGTTATCAAACAAAGTTTTGAAAGTAATCTTGTGACCCTATACCTGTTGTAGTATTTTTGATAATAAACATTCTTATCTACCTCAAGGGCCTATCAAATTTTGATAGACGTAGACAATAAACAGTCATCTCAATCCATTACTAAAGATTTCCATAAAAATAAGTCACACTGTTGGAATGAGAACGGCTTTTAAACACTTTTTTATATAAACTGTCAATGTCAAATAATTGATTTTGCTGAAGACCTAGTCAAGCGTAAATTTTAGGTCATATTATGCATTTTTAGAGTAGTGCGCATCAAAAGTTATAGAATAAAAAAAATTTTAATAACTGGAAAAGCATACCAGATATTTTAGGTTTTAAAGTGATTTTCAATCGTAAAGTAGAATCAGATGATGTGATGATTGATGCATCAAGATCCCAATCAGATTGTAATGGTAAGTAGAATTGTTCACCGAATTCATCAACCGCCAAATAACAAATTGAGAAATCACTAAAAATTATAATCATCAGGTAACAAAATGTTTAAATTATGGTTTGCAATAGATAGATGTAATACATGATTGATTAAATAAAATATATGAGAACATTCCCTATCAGAAATGTATAGATTTACGCATAAACTAAGTTCCGGCTTTGACAACTTTCAGTTCATTGGCATTAACAGGATAAGTAAGAGCTTGTGGAATAACACTTCTATCAAATATTCGTACAATGATAATTCTGCACTCAAGTTCCTTTTCAGCAAGTTTGAGTGCTACAGTGATTTGAAATTAGTCATACGGTTAGTGGTTTTGTGAACAATGATCAGATACAGAAATGATGGAGACTCTACTACAAATACTGCTGAATTGATGCATAGTTACAAACTTGGCGTATAGCTTAGTTAACCGAAAACAATGATCTCGTAGAAATTAACAGTCTTCGGTGCTCGTTATTTGAAGTTCCATTATGTTATAGGAGATGTCTGGATATTATTACCACTAAGCGTAACTAATGTCACAGTATAAATAATTTAAGGTTGGTATGGCGTTAAAGTTGTACTATTGGCTGAACAAAGTGCTTTTAAACGTGATCATTTCCAGGCATGTCTAAAATACACTCGGCACTTAGATATCCTTTCAATACTACAAACGGTGTAAGCCGGAAAAATCCAATTGAATCCCTTGTACCAATGAAGAGTTTTTTGTCATACACCAACCTATCTGATAAGATGCAACTCTACCGGCACGTAAAAGGTGGTCAAAATGCTGCTTTTAGACAAGGCAACAATGCAGAGTAGTAATGAAACGGAAACTGGCATCTGTTGAAACGAGTAATGATTGAACCAGTGACCCCTGGGTAACGGCCCAGAAGTCACTGATTTGAGTCGTTGCTACCTAGGTTTTCATTTGCCCTTTAATCATCGGTCGTAACAACAAATGCATACTCCAAGTACATAGTAATCAGTAAAGTCATGTGCTTTCCTGACATTTTTCTCTGAGAGAAATCACCACACAACGGTTATCAGGATAAGACTTGGAAAGTCTTAGGTATAACTGTACTCCAGGGCCGGGAGGAGGATAAAGACTTACCAACCAGTTGCAAACGAAGCCACTTACGCTTTGTAGTTCGTTTACAAATAAATATGCAGTGACTAGACAATGATCCGTATATCACTGTTTGTTACAAAGGTCCACTTACACTTGTATATTTACCTTTCTCGTCGTAAAAAATATACACGTACAATATATACATGGTCATAGGATTGCAAAAATCTGACTTTTCTGTTCTGAAGAATAAAACAGTAGGAATGAGTCAGTCGTAGTACTACAGAGAATATATTTCATCTGGTTGGCAGATTTTTAATTCTTTGAAGAGTACAGTCAAATACTGTCCATATGTTTAAGTCATTGTTTGTATCACATGGAATTGTATTATCATATTCAGTTCATTCGAATCTTTCGTATGAATGATTAGTGGTTTCAGAATAAAATACTGGTAGTAAACTATGTCGTATATTTTCTAATTTTCTTTTTTTTATCTCTCATGTATGCTTTATGACAGCTACAGAGGTATAAGCAGCATAGAAAAATACTTGCTTCTTAGCAAACATCTCAGCAATCAAATACCAAACGGTCTCAAATTACTAACATAGTATCCTATGATACAAACTAGCAGGCAATTGTCGTTCACTAAAGTCTCAATTGAAAATCTATAACTTGCCTACATGTAATCATACCATAGTAATTTAATGGGTGAAAATAGTTGGATAATGGATTACATTTTCAAGAATAGGAGTCCAACAGAATAGACGAATGGATGAGTATGAAAAAATTTACAGATTGACCAACTACACTTTGAAGTGACTATCGCTAAAACACGGAAGTCATTCCAGAAGTCTTGGGGCAATAGAAATATAGCCCTATGACAGAGCTATCCAATTGACCAAGAGATTCTATTACGAAACCATATTTACGATGAAATGTATATGAAGAATCTGGTACCACTCTCATATACGTAGGAGATTGTAGTAGTTGTCTGGCCAGAGAAAGAGAAAAATATCTTGATTGACCAACGGCATCTTTACGAGTGAAATTTAATCTTTGCTGCTGCATTTCTTATTTGTCCTTTACGGTCATTGAATCACTTGTTGGAGTTGTATGAGCTTGAATCGGCTGATTGGTGACGAAATCTCAGCTCGGATAGAGAAGACCCGTTTGGTATTCGCCAACTTCTGTCATTTGTGGACAACTACTCGACTATCTATCAAAAAAACATGTAAACTGCACTGCAGTTCATTCTGTCCCGTTGTACGTCTGTGAGACATGGCCCTTAAAACTACAAGACATGAAAGGGTTACAAGGTTTCGATCACAAACGTCTTCGTAGCATTGCTCGCGTTTGGTGGAATCACTGTGTGAACAGTGTTGAGATTAGGCGAAGGGTACTAGGCAAGACAGGCAAGTCGATTGATGAGGTTGTGAGGCTTCATCGGCGGAGATGGCCTGGACATGTACTACGCATGCTGAGCAACCGCCTATCCTGACGTGCCATGCTAGGGTAAACTGAATTAAATCAGAAGACAGTTCAGAGTGGCCAAACCAAGACGTGGTACCAGTCCGTGAAGTCTCTCACTGTTGGTGTGAGCCGTGTAGGGAGAAGTAGACTGCCTGGCTGGACGACGGGAAACAATGGTTGAGAACTGGTGGTAACAGCAGAAAATCAGTAACAATACCTCAGTTGTATTCACTCTTTGACGTCTTCTAAGGCTTGAATGTTCGCACTAACCTTTATCTTTAGATCGTTTATTCTCTCACACAACTTTATCTAATTTGACATCACTTTTTCTATCCACCTGTTCTTTGTATGCTACTAAAAAGTGTAGCAACTTAAACCGATACACTTATGTGCAAGGTTCTATGTTGATTTTGTCTGTTTGCTTGTGTTCCTATTTCCAATTTCAATATACTACTATGAATACACATGTAAAAAATGATAATCTGCGTGGAATAAGCAGTTGTAAACAAGTTGGTATGCGTCATGGACTGACGTCAGTTGGAGGAACACTGGAAACCTGGGAGCATTGGATAGCTATTTCTTCCTAGTATGAAGATTTCTCAGCAGTGTGCACCCATGATCCCACCCCATCAGGAACCGAACCCAGGACCTTCATGGTTCCGTGGCCAGCACGTTATTGTTGAGCCACTGGGTCGGAATCCAATGGTTTATATTTCCTACTTCTGTCAGTTCATGCATAGCGCGATAATCACCCAATGTCATCGTTGAGTACTTGTTCTCACGGCCACTAGGGTTGCCCCACTGGTCACGACTTCTCATTGGAACTTCAGGAATCACCTCTTGAAGCTAGCCCCTAATGAGCATTAGATCAACTTAATTTGGGAGTTTGTGGGGATTTAGTGATTTTTCAAGTTGGTATTCATCAATGGCAATGTGCTAGCCACGGAACCTGAAGATCCCGTGTTCGATCCCTGGTGGGACGCGGTCACGGGTGCGCACTGCTAAGGAGTCCCATACTTGGACAAAACAGCTCTTCAGTGCTCCCAGGTTCCCAATGTTCCTCTAACTCCTACCAGTGCATGATAAATACCAACTTGAAAAATCACTAAATCCCCGCAAACCCCCAAATTCAGTTGTAAACAAGCCTTAGCTTCACATATCAAATGTTGAAACGTGTCAAACCGAAGTATGGAAAACAACATATTGCGACAAAAATAACAGTCAATTGTTCAATAAGCTTATAAATATCATTATACTATAAAAATAAGGATATGGTAGAAAATAAACCGAAGCAATAAGTAAAAAAAACCTTCCTGATAGTGACCACTGCGAAAAAGCTTATAATGATAGACACAACTTACGAATTAATATCAAAACATTTACAAAGCAGTCCTAGTAGAACTTTGTAATCTGTAATATTTGGATCGATCGCAAATTTCTTATACTGGTCAGTACCACCTTCTGTGCCAAGCTGTTTGTTTGCCATGGATAGGTAAAAATTATTAGATGAAAAATGAATCTTACCTTTGCTTTGACATATACTACTTCTCGTGAAGTTCCTTCTAAACTCATTTTGCTCAGCAGTAAACATTCATGTTAAAAATTGAAATAGCTGAAAATACGAATCATTCTTATGATAAGCATATGAAGTTATCGAAATATAGTCGCAAAATGTATGAATTATTATACAGAAATCTACGCATTACTAAAGCAATCAAAATGTAACTTAACGAAATTCAGAACCCAGAATCCTTGTCCATGGATAACTGTAAAATGTTTAATAAACTAGCTACCTGGTAAAACTAAGAATACTTAGTGCTTTAATACGACGACTAGGTAAACACTAAAATGAATGGCTTTAGGGTTGCAGGGGCGGTTGACACTTCCTGGGTGCCCAGACCAGGTACCTAAGAAAGACATTGGACGACTAATAGTGGTACCTGACAACAAAGCTCAATAGATATCTGATCGAGGCCGGCTACATGTAGCCTTTTTAGAAGTTTTGCGTAAATCCAACCATGAACCCATATCCCCGGGACCGGTATGTCACGCGGTAGAGGAGAGTGTTTTATCTTTCGGGTCGACTTTTTTTAACCCTTCTCCTTTCCCATACTGAAGGCAATATTAGTATGGCACTGCCGACCATCCAAGAGAAACACCTCAGTGCTGTCACAATCCCATCCCAACCATAAGTACGACTTCGCCCTCGAACCCCCATCATACCATAGCTCGTTACACTACAACGGTAATCACTTTTCGCGCTACCACTATCCAACAGATCTTTCTGGTACGGTAGGACCCAGAGGGAACAAGCGTTCCACCAGCATAGCTCACTTGGTCATGGTGATAAGCAGGCTTGACCAACACGCCAAGGTAGCGGCCATCAGTCAGAAATGGCATCAGAAGGATTATCCACTTCACGATAAAACTAAATTGAGTAGTACTAGGAGCATGAGATAATAATTTCTTGAGACGTTATTGAGTTCACTGTATAATTTCGTACAGAAAAAAAGAAACAACAACCAAATATGAGTCACCTGATTAAAACTTGGTAGCTTATCGGTTAAATGAACGATTTCGAGAAATTGCATGCCACGTGAAAGTTCTCCAGAGATATGAGCTGAAAGCTAAAGACACTTAGGAATTAGTATACTTCAAGCAGAAATCTACATGAACCATCCCATTTGGAGCATCAAATGGATGTAATTTCGAAAGAAAAGCAGATACTACAGAGAATTAAACAGTGGGAAGATATTTTGTCGATGATACAAACTTTTAATGGATTTAGTGAAGGGAACACTGGCTAGGAATGTGGTTAGAAATGAAGGCTAGTGCTAACTCCATTCTCGACCACGATTTCGGAGTTATACCAGGTAAGAGAAAGCAGAAATTTCGAGCAGAACGTGGTTCGCAACAAAATTGTAACAGACGATCATCGTTAGTGGTTCGCTGGCATAGGATTCCGTAAAAACCCTCAAGCTGTCTTTCCAAGTGCCTCAGCTTCCCCGCTTGAGCGTTAAATTCATCTCCCATTATTTGTTTTTTGTAGGAAAATTGACAGTTTCTCATAGAATTCATTTTCATCATCCGAACTGCAGTCGGTGGGGGTGTAGGCGGAGGTTATGAATCGGCAAAGTTAAGTCTCACGACTCTTCCTAGTTCTTATAGATCCATCCAGTCGAACAGGACACAAATAGCTGTTTACAGGTATTCAGTCGGGAAGTGCGCTTCTTGCTAAATCTGTACCAGAGAGTTCATGAGGGCTAGCTAGTAAATCTTCGGAAACTCGTAAAGTCAGTTGGATGGAGGCAACCAGCAGGAAGGCCGGGGACTAGGTTTTGTGCTTGTTAGCACTCGTCAGGTAGGTGTGTCTGAAAGCTTGATGGAACTGGTGATTTCGGAGGGACTCGAACCCACTTAGTCTGGTGATGCAATGATACTCTACCACTGAGTTTTTCGGGCAGCAGTCGACCTATTTTAGAACAGGATTAGTTACACTAATTGGTTATTGAAGCATTACCAACTTCATGCTGTCTAGTCCTAAGTGATGATCGAATTCCGTCCATTCTTTGTTAAGGTGATTACCAAGCTAGGAGACTCACCATAGCCATGCACTTGGACGGATGTTAATTGGACATTGTTTGTTGCTGTTGCTTGGACATTGAAAGCTGTAATGTAGAATTAAAAGCGTGGTTTTAGAACTGTGGATGGTGTTTGCCTCGCTTGCATCATCAGCGGTGGTCACAGGATGAAAGGTAGAGAGAACTATAGCAGTTGGTATCAAAAATGCAAGGCCAAGGAAGCCAAAAAAGGAATGAATGCAGGTTATGATTAGTTGGGTTATATATACTTTTGGAATCCTGCAAGCAGTTGCTTCTATATGGAACTCGAAAGAAAATGAATGAGCAGTAGTAGTACACCACTACAGAACCAAATAGGCATCTCAACCAATCAATAAGTCAACATCAACATAGGACCAGGCATTACTGCGTAACGGTCCGAGTTGCTACACCTCATACCAGCACATGAAGTAAAAAGACAGTGAAGTCCAGGATGAAGATAAGAAAATTCAGTCAAAAGAATATAAAGTACTAAGAGAGAAAAACGAAGAATGAGAAAGTGGTGAGATTCGATATAGCGTTAAGATGAGGATAATGTATGTATACATCTGCGCCACTCACATCGGTTCTGAGCCATATCATCTAGAGTCTCCAACCACTGGTTTCTCTCCTCCAGTGGACCCCAACCGACTAGTTTGCATCGTCTGATATGGCTCAAACGAACAGTCAGAGACTTCATACATTGATGCCATGTTTTAGTCTGGCCACCTCGGGCATGTTTCCAGCCTGAACCTACTTCGGCCAACATTGTGTGACAAGGCAGATGGCGACTAGGCATACGTAGTACGTGTCCCAACCAGCTATCTCAGTCGATAAAGGTTCATAACCTCGTCAACTGACTTACCTCTTCTCTCTAAAACTCTACTCCTGACTTCCGCATTACTCACGTGGTGACATCACGCAATGCAGCATATACTACAAAGGCAACGGTGGTCAAGCACTTGAAGCCTTCTCATGTCTTCCACCTTCAATGTTCACGTTTCACAGCCATACAGTAGAACAGAACGGACTGCTGTGCAGTATACGCGACCCCTGGTAGACAACGGATATCACAGCGGCGCCATAGGTGGCGCAAATTAGCGAAAGCCAATCGAGCCTTTTGTATTCGTGCAGAGATCTCATCAGCCACTGAACCATCAGGGCTGATCCTACTTCCCAGGTAAGTGAAGTGGTTAACACACTCAACCACTTCACTCTCTATTCTTAGCCGCGGCACCGTTGAAGACTAATTCTGGAGCGACAATTTGCATTCGGGTGGTGAAAACCGCATCCCAAACTTTCCCAAATTGACACTCAGTGTCCAGAAGACTATGCGTCTTGTTAGCGTCTTCACCTAACAGGACTATGCCATCTGTATATTCTAGGTCTAACGAAAATTCACCTGTGATTAGGTCAACGTCTGTGTAACCTGGCGACGAGAGGGAGACCTCCATAAGGATATCTGTGACGAAATTGTATAAGGATGGAGATAGTGGGCATCCTTGACGGACACCATTAGATGAGCAGAGCTCCCTGGACAACTCACCATAGGTTCTAACATGCCCACAAGTGTTCGAGTAGAGAGCTTTCAATAAGGTGATGTGCTTACTAGGCACGCCTTTCAGTGACAGACATCGCCATAAGACTGGGCATCTGCTTGAAACGTTTATATATAGTCTTTTTAAAAGTTTGGGGTTTAAGTTTCTTTGGTTTCAATCAAGCTAGGAAACTCATATTACTGGCGCCGGAAGACTGTATGACAGGAAGGAATGTAGTACTTTTGGGGCCGATCTTTTCTAAACCACTTCCCCATCAGCATGAACTTCTGGTCATCCACAGGAAATACCTAAGTGATGTCACGCTCCCGTCCAACCAGCAGTACGAATTCGCCCTTGGACCCCCACTATAGCATAAGCTATTCATACTGTAATGGTAACTACTTGTCTTACCACTGCCCAGTAGGCATTTCTAGCATTATATAGCAACAAGAAACAATCTTTCTAGCTAACAAAGTGCGTTTGGCCACTGTGACATGCAAGCCCGACCACTACGACAGAGCAGAAGAAAGACAAAAAAAATAGATGCTTGCGGAATTCAGGTGACGGATCGAAATTGGTAGCAGTGATACAGAGACACTCGAGTTGTCTCCAAGCGAATTTCAGAAATATTATTACCGTATGACTGCACTATTCTTGTCTTCGTTCGTTTCGTTCCGTTCCAGTTTTTCATGGTTTTCAGTATTTTTATTTCACAGACTTCCGCTCGGACCCGTAAGAATATGTGTTAATATAACCTGATACGTAAACATACAAATGAAACGCACTCAGTCACCTTGTGGACATCCATGCAGCAGGTAATGAGCCACATCATCTATTGTGTGAGGGCTAGTGATACTACCCGCTACCGAAACTTCAGTAGGTGAGGCAGGGCTCGAACCAGTGTCCCAACGGTTGATAGTCATCTCCCTAAACCACCGAGCCATACCTCTATGCGTATATATGATACTTCTTAGCTTATTTATACCTACCATTCAACATGGTCCCCAAGTGTAAAAGTGTGTTTTTATAGTGTCCCTCTGACTAAAATCTTTGATCAGTAGACGGATTAATTAGTCCAGGAAACTTACAGACATCAGACTGTATGATTTAGTTACCTCTACAACAACTAACAGGTAGTAAAGTGACTTTGCAACGAAATAAAACGTTCTGAAAACACCACACTATAAAATTGATGAAAGTTATTTTGCTTTGTTAAATTATAGTAAGTTTTCGAAAAATATTTGTGGTACTTGAGAATAATGCTAGTTGCTGTGGTTACCTTGTTTGGCTGGAATACACAAACCATTTGGCTCTAAAATTCGGCATATGCTTCTACAGGTACTTCCGGTTGTATCACTTTCATAAGAGGCTTCTGTAGTATAACTCCACCGAGTACTGAAAGCAAGGGAATGAGAGGTTGTTGCAAGGTTGTTACAATAAATGTCAACCGTATTCAACTCAATACATAAAAGATCATGCGGATATTTACAGCACAGGACTTATCACCGACGCGCAACAGCTCAACCTGTCACACTTTAAATCAATACTCCGAAAAAATTCACCTTATGAGAGACGAATACGTAGAAACAATCATATCGCCTTCCAACCTCTCACAACGATGCGATTTGTTTATTTAGGCCGTCAAACTTTAAACAATTAATGCGGCGTTCAAGTGCCGCTCCACCTGTTTTCGCTAGAACAACTAGACAGTAGTAACTTCCACACATGTTCGTTTTATAGTTTAATCTATAAAACCGTACCGAATTGACTAGTTGCAAATTTATACCGTTCTTTTTTTATTTAGGCTGTAGTCACAAAAATTAATGGTACGTGTTTCTCCCCCGAGTAGTATACATAAAAAGGTTGCTGGAGCTTTACATCACTTCTCCAGAAAACTGAGTCGAAAGACATTCTAGAAAGTGAACTACTAAACACCTAACTATACCAGATGTTAATGCTCAGGCGTGAAGTGAAGCGGTTTTAGAAACTGCTTTAAACTCTCAATAGCCTATACCGTCTCGCCTTGTAGTACCAACCACACTTTATTTCAAGCCTTTAATGAAACCATATGTGAATTATTATTAAGCCAATCGTTCTTTTAACTAAAGGCGAGATAATGTAAAATTCCATACAAAATGGTCACCAGTCGATAACTGATATAGCTGTAGAGCACTAACCTAATTCTAAGTTCACGATGTGGCGACTAACCTAGGTGATACGACAGTTGTACATTGTATGTTGGCGTTAGATAGCACCAGTCAATCGTAAGGAAGCCCCAGACTTAGGTTGCGTGTTTGTCAGAACTCATCGGCACGGCATTTCTATAACCATAAGGAAACTGGTGTTCACTTAGCGGTTTGAACCTCCGACTGAGTACCGAGTTTAAACACTTCTTTATAACACTAATTAGGCTATGACTGAAACGCATTATTGCAGCTGTAAAACGAATTGAAAATTAGGGCTAGAAAGCGGTTTAGGATTGGAAACCTCATTTTAGGATTTATAACTCAGACGCAAGTAGATGCGGTTCATGGACTGGATCGCGAAATTCATAATCTGCAAACAGGATTCAGACTTTTTCCTCTAAGCTCTGGTTGTGACAAGAAAAACAGACAGGTTTGGAATTTTTAGACTGATTTGATTATAACACCATAACAGCTTTACGAAAGTCTATGTAGGATCACCGCAAAGTTAGAGAGGGTTACCCTATATTGAGCTTGTGTAGTTGAAGCTGGTAAAGCACCACATAAGCTGTCCCTGATCTAGGAGAATCTTTGGCTTCACCCTTGTTTGATACCAATAAAACTAAGATTGGGCCACCTGCTAAAAAAGCATGCCAAATAGGCGTTAACAAACACTTTTTAACGTAAATATTAGAATCTGAAGAAACTACGCAGCAAGTAATGTGGTTTCATTTTTGTAAACTACCCAAGATTTTGCACATCTATAATTTACAAGTTGAAGATCCAACATCCAACATCAATAGTGAGAGTACAGTAAACAGTCTTTAGACCCTCCCTCATGTCTAGGTTTTGAGAGTCGGTTCTTTTAGTTCGGTTGCACACCTTCGGTGGGTGCATAAGTCTTTTCAGACTACCCAATAATAGCTTTGGAGGTGGTGATTGCTTATCTGAAGGTTTACATTTACAAATTGAAGGCTGTTTTATTTCCGAGATAAACGGAGCTGTTGATAAGATCAATTGACCTTTCGCAATTCCTGTCTTTATAGACACCTGTAAATATAACGAAACACAGTCACCTTGCATACATTAGTGCAGTAAGCAATGAGTCACACCTACTGTATGAGGGTTTATGATACTACCTGGGTGCCCAAACCCCAGTAGGTGGAGCGAGGTTTGAACGCGTGACCTACTGGCTGAGTCATCTCCCTAAACCACTGAATCACAGCTTCATGTAAGTATTAATCTTTACCCGAAGGGTAGTGCCAGATAGGATGAGTAGAAAAAGAGAGAAGAGTGAAAATTAGTTACCAAGAATAAGTGTTTCTAGCAATAACATGGAGAGGGGGTGGTTTATAGTGAATATACTAAGGTTGGATAACAGAGCGATAGATGAAAATACCTTTAGTCGCTACCGGCGTATGTTGATGGTAAAGCCTATCTGCTCATTTACTTATCCAGCATTCGTTTGAAAGATTTAACTGGGTTGGCTATGGCTACTTTATTCGGCAAAGCGTTTTGTGATACAAACACTATGAATGAAGGAGCTAGATCTAATCCTTGTCTTAGCCCCCTGGGGGGGTATACGAGTGGGATTCCCGCTAGACTGTTGATCTTCGACGGGTAATGTTGTCCTGTTGGCGCGGTTCATTTGATAGGTAGTCTTGCAGGCAGTTATTAGATCGCCTCTTTTCCCTCCGTAGCTTAAGATGAACAAGTTAAGTTGTCTAAGGCGTTGTGCGCATGTTTTGCCTCAGTCTGACAACTGACGTCACCCTTCCCTGGACCTTCTCGAGAGTCTGTCTCGATTAGAGGAAGGGCTATCTTGTTAAACGCCTCTAGGTGCTGTTTAAATTTTTAAGGACCGTGAAGAATAATTCAGGGGTTAGGCATTTGAACGTCTTTCTTAGAAACTGCATGACGGCATCTGCCTTTGCCGCCATTCTTTTGTACCTGACTCTGGAATTTAGCGACTGAGGAGTTTAGTCGTAAGTCGTTCTCTGTGGACACCTATGTGCCTGAACAACTGCTGAGTACAACTAGTTTTCATCGCTTTCCATGTATGAAAATACACTACCCAGTATTTCCCCAGGTAGAAGCTCAAACCATTCTCAGCTGTCAAAGATTCCAACTGCAGTAAATCATCTCGGAGTATCATAGGGTCCTCTTTCTTACCTATTGTTCTCCACATTTTTATGTGGTTGGCAAATCGAAGGACACACGAGATTTGAACGTGGAAGTCACGGATTACTGTGCAAATGTCCAAGTTACCATACCTCATCAACATATCAAGTAACAAGGCAAAAAAGGGGGATAAACAAGGAAAGAAAAATCGGCAAAAAGTAGTGAAAGTTGAAACTAGTAAAGGAGAAGGAAGAATGAGAAGGTAATGAGATTAATTATAGTGGTCAAGATGAGGATAATGTGTATATACATCTCCGATGAAATCGGTTCTGAGCCACGTCACCTAAAATTTCCAACCACTGGTTACTCTTGTCCCACGGACCCCAACCGGTTAGTCTGCACCGCCCTGCATGGCTCAGACTAACAGTCAGGGACTTCATGCACTGGTGCCATGTTTTAGTTCTGGCTGCCCCGAGCCTTTTTCTAGCCTGAACCTACTTCAGAAAACACTATGCGACAAGGCAGACGGTGGCTAGGCATACGTAACGCATGTCCCAGCTATCTCAGTCGATGAAGGTTCACAACCGCATCAACTAACTTGCCTCTCCTGTCTGAAACTCTACATTTGACTTCTGCGTAACTCAAGTGGTTAAACCATGAAATACGGTTAATGTTAAGAAAACAACGATGTTCCTACGCCAGAAGCCTTCTCGTGTCTCTTACGTTTAGTGACTGTTTCACAGGCATACAGTAGAAAAGAGCGGACTGCAGCACAGTACACGCGACCCTTAATAGATAATCGGATATAACGGCAGCGCCGTAGATAGGGTAAGTTGGCAAAATCCAATCGAGCCTTTTGTATTCGTGCAGAGATTTCGTTGGTCACTGAGTCACTGATCCAACTTCGCAGGTAAGTGAAGTGTTCAACGCGCTCAACTACTTCACTCTCTATTGTTAGCCGAGGCACCGTTGAAAACCAGCCCTGGAACAGCAATTTGCACTTAGGTGGCGAGAAGCGCATCCCAAACATTCTCAAATTGCCACTCAGTGTCCAGGAGACTTTACATCTTGCCAGCGTCTTCACCTAACAGGACTACGTCAACTGTGTATTCTAGGTCTACTAAATATTTTCCTGTGGTCAGGTTAGTCCCTGTGAGGTCAGATGAGAGGTAAATAACATTGAATAGGAATGGAGAGAGTGCGGATCCTTGGCAGACCACTCGATGTACACAACTCTCCCGATATTTCACCATAGGCTCTAACACGCCCACAGATGTTCAAGTAAAGGGCCTTCAATAAGGTGGCGTACTTAGTACCTGTTTCAATGAGAAACTGCCATAAGACTTCTCTACCGACGGCGTCAGATGCCGCTTTCAGGTCGGGAAATACAGCCATTGTCGGACGTCGGTAAGCGTGCCTGTGTTTAAGAGCCTGACGGAGTGTGAGTATTTGGTCAATACACTCACGGCCAGGTCTGAAGACTGGTTCGTTTTCCGGGCAGTTGGGGTCCGTTGGACAAGAGTAACCAGTGGTTGGGAATTTTAGGTGACGTGGCTCAGAACCGATTTCATCGGAGATGTATATACACATTATCCTCATCTTAACCACTATACTTAAACTCATTACCTTCTCAATCTTCCTTCTTCTCCATTACTAGTTTCAACTTCTACTACCTTTTGTTGGCCAAAGTAGGTTCAGGCTGGAAACATGCCCGAGGTGGCCAGACTAAAACATGGCATCAATGTATGAAGTCTCTGACTGTTCGTTTGAGCCATATCAGACGATGCAAACTAGTCGGTTGGGGTCCACTGGAGGAGAGAAACCAGTGGTTGGAGACTCTAGATGATATGGCTCAGAACCGATGTGAGTGGCGCAGATGTATACATACATTATCCTCATCTTAACGCTATATCGAATCTCACCACTTTCTCATTCTTCGTTTTTCTCTCTTAGTACTTTATATTTCTTTTGACTGAATTTTCTTATCTTCATCCTGGACTTCACTGTCTTTTTACTTCATGTGCTGGTATGAGGTGTAGCAACTCGGACCGTTACGCAGTGATGCTTGGCCTTATATTGATCTTGATGATGATGATGAACCACTATCCAACAGACATTTCTGGCATGGTAGGACTATGATGGAAGAAGAGTTCTACCAGCATACCTAGTTGGGTTACCATGATATACGAGCTTGATCGCCATGTCGAGGTAGCAGCTCCCGTTGTCTTAGCACATTTTTGTTCTGTGTACATAAGGGTTGGTCTTACTCTGTGGGTAGGTTTTGGAAGTTCGTATCTCGAGATGCCTTAGAGTGTACTAAGATTTTTAGGTTGCCGTTGGTTATAGCTGGCGTCTTCCGAGATTGTAGTTATATGTACCAAATGTACCTACATGGGTGGTTTGGCATGAAGCCTTACTGCTGATGCAGAACACGCTTATTAAGTTACACTGAACCCATTTCATGCAACTGTTGTACGCAAAAGCTGTGGGCTACTGACATTAATGCATTGCAGACACCAGTCATCAGCAGTTTGCTTTATTTTCATGACTGCATGGTCTGTTTTCGGTGTATTGACCTCAGACATTGTGAGTGGAAGTATACTCAGCAGTTGACAGCCAAACTTCCCACGTCTTTGGTTGTTTCTCAATAAAATGATTGGAAGCGTATTGCTATTGTCCTCCCCACATGAGTTTACCGATTTCGGTAGATCTTGTGTCTGGTTTGCGACTGGTGTGAGGATTTTAACTTTAGGGAACACTACCGTGCTTAACTCATTTTCAAAGATTAATTTCTGCCGGTTTACAGACCTTGCAATGTGACAGAGCTCTTAACCTTATCTTTTGTACCAATACAATTGTTTGCAAGATTTATAAAAATGATAGAAAAGAAAAGACAGGAGAGACTATCTTCAGACACCTAAACCCTATCTCTCACTGGCCCATCAACTTAAAACAAGGTTTGTAGGTACGTACAAACTCAGAAAGACACAAATCGGTAAGTGATCTCCGAAAAGAACCAAATGCTATGATGGTTGAAAAATCCAGACTAGTACGAAACATCTATAAGTAATGCCTCCGAATTGTGACGATTGCGCCATAAGAGATGGAAATTTTCGCGTCTAATTGACTAACTGTTTTGTTTACCGCTTCAACATGGTTGGAGGCAGTTTCTTGATGGTTAACACTTTGGTATTGATCTGTTTGTTGACAGTAATGCATGACACTACTCAAGGCGCATGAATGATCAACTCATCAGGGATAAAAAAAAATTTAGATTAGATTGAGATTTAGTGTCTCCCTACACATAAGTAAGTTCCTAAAAGAAACCGCGACTCAACTCTAGATCCACACAAGTAAGCATTCTTTAAGTAGAGTAAAAGCGAGGTTATGAGATCAGCATCAAGACTAAAACTAAGCTCAAATTTGATTTTGCACCAGCTTATTTATAACGAGAACAACAGGGATAAACAAATAAATTACTAGTTAACAACTACTAGATTCAGCGACACTACTTATTTAACCCCACTATAGCTCCACAAAGTCTCAGAAGACATTTGGTGAGGCCGAAAGTGATTGAAGAACCTCCTTTTTGGAATAATTCTGCAAAGAGCATAACTGAAAAGAGATTTTACTGTCAACTCCTCAAGGTGATA